GGGATGTTTTCTGTCCTGGTAGTAGGTGGCATTACCTCATCGTTACTTAATCATAGAATCATAGAATCGTAGAATCATTAAGGTTAGAAAAGACCTGTAAAATCTTCGAGTCCAACCGTCAACCCAACACCACCATGCCCACTAAACCATGTCCCTAAGCGCCTCATCTATACATCTTTTAAATACTTCCAGGGATGGTGACTCAACCACCTCCCTGGGCAGCCTGTTCCAAGGCCTGACCACTCTTTCAGAAAATAAATTTTTCTTAGTCTCCAGTCTAAACCTTCCTTGGCGCAACTTGAGGCCATTTCCTATTGCAAGTTACTTGGGAGAAGAGACCAAATGACATGGTTGCCAAGAGCCTGCTAAACTGATGAATAAATGAAGCTTAAATAATACACAAATGAAAGGAACTGCAAGTGTGCAGGGAGTACATAGGGCATTTGCAATTGCAGAAAATAAAGTTCCTTGCCTAGGAAACTAAGCCCGGCTTTGTTTCCTGGGGCTCCAGAGCAGTTTCACCACTGGCAGAATAACCCATAACTATTTACATGGCATTTTTGTGGTGCCTGTCTTTGAAGCATCTGGCATCAAATACCAGGATACCAGCTAGTTGATGGGCAGAGGATAACTGCTGAGGAACGTAACGCATGAGAAATTCTGCCCGGGGTAGAACAGACCTTGGTCCCTTCATCTGTTACATGTCATGGTCTCCTGCTGGTACCCATATAGGGTTTTTTTTAAGGAATATGTGAATGTCATTGGGTCATAAGTAAAAGTTTGAGAGAGATTTATTTCCATGGGTGAATGATCTTCCAGATGTTAGAGTAAATGAATAAAGATATGGGAAGACAGATGTTGGGCTGTGGGGAGGGTGGAAAATTTTGGAAGGATTGGCTGAACAGTGGTCATTATTCAGCATTATTTTAATTCATTATTTGCTTGAGTTTAGGGAGATTTAATGAGTAACTGTTGTAACTACGTTCTTAAGTGCTTAAGTGAGAGGAGTCATGGTAGCGTAGGAAAAATAATATGGTAAAAGTAATTAAACTAATTTGGATTGTGGCATCTGGACTACAAAAGGCAAGATTTTGGAGGGCTCTTAGAAATAGATGTTTTGTTAATAGAAGATTAAAAAAAAGACTAGTTCCATTTGGGGCATTGAGTCATACCTTTAAAACTTCATAATTAACTTTCCCAAACAATAGAAAATACTCATTTTCTGCAGGGAACTGTCTAGAAGAACTTTTTCATGCTCCAGGGTCCCTCTTGATCCGTGTAAATGCCGGTCATGGCATACTGTTCACTGTGCATGTATTGCAAGACAAGAGCTGCGAAATAGCATCAGAATACAATTTCTGTGTGTTCTGAGATCTTTTTGTCAGGTTTCAGGACAAAACAATAGAACTCTCAAAGACAGGTGCGAAAGTAGAGGGTCAGCTCCCGTGAAAATGTTCACAGCTTCAGCCATTTATTTTTAAATGGATAGCTTCTGTAAGTCTAAAATGATACAGATTCAGAAGATTGAACTAACTAACAGGGTTTTATCTTTTTCCAGTTTTCTTTTTCTCCTCATGTTAATTGTCGCAGGTTCTTAATCTCTTTCTGCAGCTCTCTTTCTTTACTACCATTTTCCAAAAACTGTCCACTGTTTTGTCTTCTCCTTCATTCCCATGTTTTCACTACCCTGGGCAAGACTCACACTGCCTGCTTTTGCTCCTTAGAGCTCAATGAAAATTTGAGTGTTACTGGGACAGTAACTCCGCGGTCCATGCTCTGGCAGCTGCCGAGACATCAAAGGAGCCAAAACGTGCCCACACTTTGAACCCAAGAGTTTCTTAGGCACTTAAGCTCAAGCGCTCGCAGAGAGGCAGAAGTGTCTGAGTCAAAATGGTTGAGTATTTGATTTCAACTCCACTGCAATCCAGTCTTGAAATGGCAATATATATATATGAGCACTGGGGCTAGTTTCTTCCAATTAACAAACTAGTTTTGTCCACCTCCTCACTCAGCGTTTTCTGGGTTGCCCTGCTGAGGTCCTGCTTCTCTCTGTTGATTGTACTGAGAACTTCAGCTGTGAGTGCCCAAGCTCATCAGTCAAAGCTGGTGTGTGATATCTGACACCAGCTTCCCATCCTCTAACAATTCTGCTCCTGCTGGTCCTTTCTCCATCCTTTGAACTCCTGGATCTTTCATTTTTACCGCAGTTCTTACAGACTCAGTGGTCACTCTTCACGTCTGGGATGTTACCAAACAAAAGGCTAACAGTTAGTATAGTACTGCCTAGGAAGAACAACATCTTTTTTCTAGCACCTGGCCATCCACAGATGATGTAGGTGTTTCACAGAAAAGTAATACTATTATTCTTCCCCTAAAAATTAGGTTTGTGTAAAATGTTGTTGATTAATCTTAATGAAAAACCGTATCTTTCACAGTTTCCTTTACAGTGGCTTTTTTAAGGTGTATGTCAGTGAACGTCTTCAGAGTAATGCTACTTTGCCTGTTTTTTTCCTTCTTATGCTATACGCATATATTTAATTGAAAATAATGAAAGATATTCTTAGGTTAAGCTTGTAAGAGCGATTTTCCTTCAGTGGTGTAAATAGCTTGAGAGGAATGTGGTTAGTCCTGTCTCTTTCACATAGCTCTATAGGGGCTGGGTAAGCAGGACTCTTTGAGGAGGGAGGCTGGAAGCAACACCTGGGAACTCCAGCCGAGTGACCTGTGCTCACGTCCTTCCATCAGCTGACTTTCGTTTCTTACCCGAAGTGATACTGTTTTAATGGACAAACAAGCTATTTCTGGTATTTCTCTTTCACCAACCATCCCTCTCTGCATCGGGTTCTCTATTTGTCTTCTGCCAAGGGTAAAAAGAGCTGGGATTTGTGTACCAAAAAGGCCATTGCAGGGAAAGGATCTCAGGGCAGGGAGAGACTTAGAATTTCAGAAGCTTTTAAATAAGGATCCAAAGCTTAGGAAATACCTCCTCGTTTTGCTCTGGAAGTCTCCGTGGTCAAAGAAACCAACCGGGGCATTATCCAGAGTCTAAACAAAAAGAGAGTTTTAAAGTACGTTGAGGATGGACAGGGCGAGCGCTCCACTTGGAAACTGTTGATGCGGTGCGATGAGACCGTTAGGATAGACCTGCTAGGTCAAATGAGGAGACTGCTGTATTTGTCTGGTGCGCCGCACCAACTGTTTGTGGCAAGGGTATGTGTGTAACACAGTTTGGTGGTGAATTTGAACACGTTTTGTAGCACTTTGTCATTGGCAAGAGTGTGCGACCCGCCATCTGCCATGTAGCTTGTGCCCATCTAGCTCATGGCAGCTGCGGATTCCAGGCGCCCAACGCTGCGGCTGCCCAGGGGCAATGAACACTATTTGGTGCTTTGTGCTTGGCTGAGGACTGTAAAATTATCTAGGCTGAGTTGCTACTAGTGCAGCTATGGGCTGTGGTCACCTCAGAGCCTGGATTGCTGGGTTCTCCTCGCAGCAACTGTTTCCCACCCCCGTCTGACATCAAAACTGCAGCACAGCCCAGATGGTGCACAGAAGGCACCAACCCAAGGAGTTCAGATGCTGCTGACAACCCTGCTGACATGCCTGTACAGCATCCAATTTCCTTACAGAGGCACCCATGGCCATTTCAGCTGGACTTTTCAGGGCTGTTTGAACTTTGTGATGATATTCTTACTCGGGAATTTTCTTTGGAAACTGAGGGCTCTCAGCAAAGCATTTATTGACTTTTGAAGAGATGCATGGAGGGAGGTGCTGCCTACGACAAAGCAAGTGTTGCGTCACTGGTTCATGTAATTGAAATAGTTTCTTGCAAGCTGCTCGTGATTCATAAGAGATAATAAATAACTGAGGAATGATTGTGCCTGACAAAGGAAACAGTCGTTGAAGAGATGCTCTTTTGTTGTCCTGGTTGTGATTAGCTGGTTTCAGAAGGGGAGGTAAAAAATCATTTATGACACACCAAAGGAAGATACATACGGACCTCACACAGTTTCCCTTCCTCAGTTTGGTGCATGCTCGACTGTGGGATCAAGGTAACTGCCGAGAGCATTTAACGTGTAGACATTAAGGGCTGGTGATAGAAATCACAAATAAGTATAGCCTATAAACATCGCAAAAATGGGGTTTTGTAACAGTTTGCTTTATGAAAGCACAAAATCCAGTTTTGCTGTATTAATCTTCTTCTCTGACATGATACGACACAGAACATGGGGCATGCATCATGCTTACCTTTAAACAAAAAGCAGAGGGTGGAATTTTCCAAAAAGCTACACTTAGCCCAAGTCTGATCTCATTGAAGTAAATGGGTATTTATCAACAGTGTTGTGCAAGTCCCATGGCTGAGTATGTTTAAAAATTGTACACCGTTCCTGGTAACATCTTACACACAAAATTAATTTTACTGAAAGTAAGTGCAATAAATAAAGAGGATGTTTTGCAGATTGAATTTTTATGTTTAATTGGGAAATCGTAGTTCATTTTTACCAGCTTCCTAAGAAATGTCCTTCAGTGTAGTTTACATAAATAATTAGAAAGCTTCATAAACTTCATAAAAATAATGGGAAGTCTGTGGCAGCCTGTGATAAATTGCTGGAATATCGGGTAATCTGGCCGTTTTGGGAGAAAGTGTAGCCTGACGAGATGAGGGTAGCAAACTCGTACGGTAATCATGAGAATAATTACACAGCCCTTTGTCCTGATGTTAATCCCCACATCACCCCTGCAAGGTAGGATCTATATTGTTGCCTTAATCCTGTTGATTTTCTTAGTCATGTGAATGCCATAGGAATGATAAATCTCAAGGCCCTTTCCTTGTATTCAGCAGATTCGGTACCTCGTAATTGTGTAATTTGGCCTAAAGCAACCCCTAAGCAGTGGGTGTTCATGGGAAGCGTGCAGAGGAGGTTGCGGGGATTAAGAGCAACAAGGGGAAAATCACCACCTGTTTTTGCCCCCTCCCCTCTTTCTTTTGTCTCTCCCAGGAGAAAAACCCTACAAATGTACCTGGGAAGGCTGCACCTGGAAGTTTGCTCGCTCCGACGAACTGACGAGGCATTACCGCAAGCACACGGGAGTGAAGCCATTCAAGTGTGCAGACTGTGACCGCAGCTTTTCCCGCTCAGATCACTTGGCGCTCCACCGCCGCAGACACATGCTGGTTTGAGAAATGCTACCTGTTCCAGCCGAGTTTAAGAGCTGGGTCTCTTAACTACCCGGAGTGAATTCAGCAGGGCTGAATCCCCCTCTACAGTGTTAACAGGCAGGGCTTTCCCTGATGTCCATAACAAAAAATAATAACAGAAATTAAAAAAAAAAGCAGGAAAAGAAGTGCCACTCTTCTCCTCGCCATCTGAAGTTAATCCCGTCTGCCCCTCAGCATGGCTACCCCCTGAAAGTGTCATCACAATCACCTGGGAAATAGCAGCCAAAATGCTACAGGAATGGGCATTATTTTACATGCTGTGTCCTTTGACAAAAAATGTTTATAGCTTGTATGTTTTCTCAGCTGTTGGACATTTTGTTCCTGAAAAATCACTGCTGATTGGAGGATTAGATACGACAAACCGATGATGATGATGATGATGATGATGAGAGCAAGACCGCTAGACCTTTATTATCCCATCTTTTCCCCTTGTTTTGAATACCATCTGGCCGATGTCAGCATTATGCCCGAGCTGTGCTACAGACATGCTGCATGTGAGTAGGCAAGAAGATTCTGCTGGAGAGGTCCCACTGTCGGAGCTGAAGGGTCGCTTGAGCAGACTTTTGCAATAACGATGGTGGCATTTTAATATTGTACCACAATTTGTCATTATGCCCTAGAGGACACCAGCCATTTAACCTTTTTCTTTTATCTTTTTTTTTCTTTTCTTTTGTTGTTGTTGTTGTTGAAGTCTGTAAAATAAACAAGGGGCAGCAGCATCTCTGCTGAAAGTACAATATTAAGTATCTGTATTTTACCATGGATTTATTTAGAACCATTTTCTGATTTGTATAGAAAGAGCCCATCTAAAAACTACTACCCCATTCTCAAAGTGCAGTTTTCTTTCATGCAGGTATCCTCTTCCCCATGACCAGTGTTTGAACACAAGGAAATAGTCAGTTCTTATACTCACTGGTACCAAGGTTAGTGGTGTAGCCATTCTTGAAATGGAATTGAATGAACCAACAAACAAAACAGAGAAGAAACGGCTGCATCTCTTGCAGAAAAAAAGCAATAATGAGTAAAATGGCTCTCGAGACAAGAATTTACTCCACACCAACAGAAGGGGGGGGCATGCAGAAGTAGCACGTAAGATCATTTAAGTTAATCTTTCTGATGATTTCACTGACGTGCTAGGTACCACAATTAAGTACTTTCATTTCCTTCAACATAATACTTTTGTCTGGAAAGCAAGATAGATAAAGGAAGGAGCTGATTGTTGAGGAGTCAGTGGATGAACCGTAAGTAGGAAGGCAAAACGGTTCTGCAGTGGTGCTCTGCAAGACATTAGGTTTCTCCCTGGGAGTTAGGGAATAACAAGATTTTGCCAGCTGTCTAGTATGATATAAATGGCCCTTTATATGGGTACCAGTGGCTGCCCCTGCTGGGATTTTCAATCCAAGCCTTTTCAGATTAAATAAAAGGAAATTCTTGATCATTCCCATACAGCCCTATAATTGCAAACCAATTTGTATTAACTGAATTATGTAGGAAAGAGAGAAACTCTTAGTCATCAGTTGTTCATGCAAACGGAATAGTGTTTTTCTGTTTTCTTTCCTTACAAGGATCTGCCTATTCAGCTAAATTTGACAAAGACGAGGCTTGGCAAGATTTTTTAAGTGTTGAGATTTTTATAGCTTAGAGATAAAAGATGTATACATAAAGGTCTTTTGCAATGCATTTAATTATGAATATTTGGTTCCAGGAATTGCACAGATTAAACTTGTGACGCCACTTGTTCATTTTCAGATGTTTGACCAGTCTGAATTAGTTTCTGGTTCCTGAAGTAATCGTAGTAATGTTGGGGGGATTCTGAAATCAAGGTAATCCTAAAGAAGAACCAGCACAGAGCACCCATACAAATACTGAAAGCAATTGCAATTAATTGAGGATTAATATGACTAGGATAATACTTTATAACAGCATTCAGAGGCCCCAGAGTTTGATTGTCTTTAAATACGTTCTTAATATTCCCCGGTACCGGATAGTTTATCAGCTCTCTGAAAGAAGAACTTCAATACTGTTAAAGCTCAGGCTCTCCTCTGCCGAGTGGTCAGCAGAGAAACCCAAGACAAATTATTCACAGCCATTGTGGGAAAAATGCCTCTATCAATTCCCATTGCCTGTGTTGGTAATCAACTTCCACAAAATTCAGCAACGTTTTAGTATCTGGCTCCAAATCAAGAATGAAGCAGAGGTGCTAAGTGTCTGTGCAAAGCATGAAAAGGCTGCGACAGATCAGGGCTTCTGGATAGGCCATGAGGCATTGCGGGGCAGCAGAACTGGGTCTTAACCAGCAGTTGTTGGTTTAAAAAACTGGTTGTTGGTGTTGTGTGTGAGATGGTTCATGGATTACGTCTGAGATCTGTCTTTTACGTACTTCAGTATCATCCCCTTAAATGGATCTGTCATTCTCAGCGTAGGTGGAAGTCAATTGATCGATAAAATTATTTTCCTGCCCAAGAACATTTTACCGACTACTTACTTGAATAGCAGTAATTCAGTTGAAGAACCGATGGCATACAGAATTCCTTTCAAAATCTCTGATTTTTTTCTCCCACAGAAAATGAAGTTTATTTGACCAGAAGCTCTTAAGGCCATTCTGTTAGCATACAAGAGGAGCAGTGAGGGAGATGGTCTCTGATGTTACTCACAAAGGCAGAATATAACTGGGAGAGACCAGTGTCCTCTTCGGGCTTCCTCTTAGGCAATGAAGAGAGAAAAACTCCTCCGAGAGAAATTGAGAGGCCTTACATTTCAGCAGTCAGCTCTGAACTGCCCCGAGGAGGAGCGTATGTATCACAGACCCTGGGGAGGCTCATCTCCCAAGGCAGAGGTTCGTCTGTGTGAATCCCTTGTCTTTCAGCTGGTTGCCCATTACTTTATGCATAGGAAACACTGCAACAGAAAGAGGGTCTGGTTTTATTCAAGGAACCCCAAAGTGAAACAGGGATAAAGCAGCACTCACACCAAGGGACACAGGCACAGAGCGTGTCAATGGTAACAGAATGAAGCCAAAAGGTAAAGGAGGGTATGCTAAATTTTCTTACTTCACAGGCAGGAAGTATATCCTCAACCTTTCCAGCACACATGTAAGGGCTTTTCGTGCTGCTGTTACCTCTAGACAACTTACACAACCAGCAGTAGTCCACCACCGGGCTTCAAGTACCCAGTGTGGTTCTTGTCAAGTTTCTCATTAGTACCAGCGCCCGCAGGCTTTGGCCCCAAATACTCTGTGAGGTTGTTTTCTGGTTTGTTTTCCCCTTCAGAAGTATTTTAAAAGAAGTTACGCTGTGGGAGGAGGGTGTTTGGATGTGGAGCTGTTGTACCCCACATTCTCAGGGTGTCCTTCCATCAGTGGCTGTGGTTCAGACCCACCAAACTTCTGTGCTTGTGCAAAGACCGAGGGAGATTGCTCCAGGGTAGTTTCCTCAAAAATCCTAGTATCCTACTGCAAGTCCATGACATTTCATAACCGTGGTGAAGGCTTACGTCATATGTAGCATGCAGAAATACCAGACCTCGTCTTGACACAACACAGTAGGTCCATCTTGATTGAGCAGTTGGGAGAGACAAATATACAGTGTCCCGTTCTTTCGGAAAGACAGAAATTTATGCTTTTAAGTGTGAGCGAAGGATGGGTAATATCCACCATGCCCATTACAGCTTACAAGGGAAACTATGCCACAAAGTGTCATATTTCAAATGTTTCCAAAAGGATCCAATGGATTTGTCAGGAAATCTCAGTAGCCAGCATTATAGGAAAACATAACGAGCAAGCAGCTTTGATACAGAACTTCTTAAATTTTAAATTGTCATTATTTTTTGAGCACCTGTTTTATTCAGCACTGTAAAATTGGCTCATTGCAACAGCAGTTTATACTTGGGGATGAAGATGCAGTATTCCTTATTCTCTATCATGCTTACACAATTAATTAAATAGATTTAGACTGACTTGTATATATGATTATTTGCTGGAGTAATGTATAACAAAATTAACAGTGTTAAAAATTACATCAGTGATGTTGATGTTTGGGGTAAACTCACAGTGCAGAGCATGGACAAATAGCTGGACAACCTTTCTCCCCTTTAATAATGGGAATAACAATGATCATAAGTCTCGTTTTCCATTAGCCACATTGAAAATGTATTCTAGTTGCCATTTATAAATTTATCTTCTGATAATAAATGCTGTTTAATGGAAAAAATCTCTTTCTCCTTTATTGAAGGTGGGTACTTCAAAATCGGAGTAAGTTTCACCATTAATATCCTGCTTATTTTTTAGTTTGAACTTTGGTTTGGAAGGGTCAGTGTGTGAAACTGCATCTTCCACAGCAGACAAGTCTAAAGATCGTTCAGTAAATCCGCCCTTCTCCCGCGTGCTCATCCATACACCCGTGCATATAAACCCCAGCACTTCCACATGCCTCCACCCATGTGCAGGTGATAAGCAAGTTTATTTAAAAAAAAAAAATCAGAAAAGGAAGAATTGGAAATAAACACTGTAAAAGCAAATACTACCTTCTTAAGAAACCAGCTCATATTATTGTATTATGCCTTTGCCTGTGATTTATAACTGGAGAAGTGCACAAAGAAATTTAAAGATCATTATATTTTCACAGTTCCGCTATAGCGTAACAGTTGCTGTGTAATGTATGCTTATGAAGTCAAGCCCATTGGTACCTTAAAAATGCTTAAATTCGGATCAATTTCCGCAGTAAATCAGGTTTTAGTACAAAAACGTAACTATAAGGATACTGCATCTTTAGAAATCAAAATACATTCAAAGTATTTTACTATACTTGTAACAGTTTTAATATTCTGTAATATATGTGATCGTGGAAGAGTATTTTCAAACTCACAATTTTACATGGGGTGTAAATAGGTTAAATGCAGTACATTTTTAAAAATCCTTTAGTTTTCATCAGGAAAAATGGTAAGATAATGCCTTGTAAAGCTTA